AAACAAATATATCTTAGTTACATCTAAAGCATCTGGAGTTTGTCTTGTCTCTGAAGGCTTCAACATGTGTAATATCCACTAGATTTTTCTGGTAATGTAAACCTCTACCATTCACTTCTCTTTGAGCCAATTAACTCTGTAAACTGTTTAGTAAACCAGGCTGTTTATGATTCATATTTGATTCATGTCTTCCACATTTTATCAGCTTAAGCTGACTTCTGAGTTGCATATTCTAGGTTTACTTCTAAGATTCTAAGTTTTCGATCTAAGTTCTACGATCTAAGTTCTACGAATCTAAGTTCTACGATCTAAGTTCTACGAATCTAAGTTCTACGATCTAAGTTCTACGAATCTAAGTTCTACGAATCTAAGATCTAAGTTCTAATAATCTAAGTTCTAGGATTCTAAGAATATAAAATCTAAGTTCTAAGACTCTAAGATCTAAGTTCTAAGATCTAAGTTCTAAGATCTAAGTTCTAAGATCTAAGTTCTAAGATCTAAGTTCTAAGATCTAAGTTCTAAGTTCTAAGTTCTAAGATCTAAGTTCTAAGATCTTCTAAGTTTTGATTTTCTAAAAGTAGCAACATGAACAACGACAACGACAACACAGGCCCAGGTGTGATGTGTTCTGTTGGACGCTGTAATACACTTAGTGTGTATTACGGTGACCTGACGGCCGAGTGGACAGCGCTCGGGATTCGTAATCCTAAAGTTCCGCGTTCACCTTGGTCCGGGTTCTTTCACCTTGATGCCCCCCCCTGTTCACCTAGCAGTAAATAGGTACCTGGGAGTTAGACAGCTGCTACGGGCTGCTTCCTGGGGGTGTGTAACAAAAAGGAGGCCTGGTCGAGGACCGGGCCGCGGGGACGCTAAGCCCCGTAATCATCTCAAGGTAACCTCATGATCACAAGCACAGCTCCGAGGAAGAAAATAGTCCTACCCTGTACAGGTGGTCAGCAAGAGAAGTGCCCTGGAAGAAGTAGTTCTGGAAGCCACCTCCAGCCACATCTCTACGGTCAGATAAAAACTATAACGGGTACAACGCGGCTGTCAGACGGGGGACCAGGAACTAGATCTCACACTCCCCCAAAGTTACCTTGAGATAAGTGCCGTTAGGTCAGCACACTGAGCTATGCCACTACCACTACACAACCACCACTACACCACACCACTACACCACTACACCACAACCACCGCACCACTACCACTTCACAAGAGAATCACCACCTGCCCTTGACTTTATCGAAGCAATATTGTTGCTACCGGTTACCTCCCTCCCACCTCGCCCCCTCCCAGAGAGGTGATAACCCCCTCCCCCCACATACCATCCCTCCCACATCCTCCATCACCCCTCCCTCGTCCCCTCCCATGTGTATCTTTCCCTCCCACGTGCACACGCTGATACATATGTACACATTAGCGTCCCTGTATGTTGTCTCCGGCTCACTTGGTGGCGCTGAGAGAGCACCAGAGATCCAAACTGGTTTGTCAAGACCCCTTTCCACCCCTCCCTTTACCCCCCTTTCCCCAAATGAGTATTGAAACCCTTTTCCCTACGTAAGGAAATAGGTATATTATACCCCCCTCCCTTTGCCAAGCCAGCGCCACCCTTACCCACAAGGAAACTAAGAATTAAGGTATTAAGCATTAAGAAAAGGTATTGAGGTATTAAGAAAGCCTTTTCTTTTAAATGGGGCAGAAGGTTCCACCAGTAAAGGGCAGCAGGAAGATCCTGAGAGACAACAGGAGGTGGCAGAGAGACCCTAAGAGACAACAGGAGGTGGCAGAGAGACCCTAAGAGTCAACAGGAGGTGGCAGAGAGACCCTAAGAGACAACAGGAGGTTGCAAAGAGATCCTGAGAGACAACAGGAGATTGCAAAGAGATCCTGAGAGACAGCAGGAGTCGGCTACAGAAACACAACACTAAACAGAGCAGCAAAACAAAGCCAGATATGATGGAGTCTTCTCAGAGTCGAAGTACGCAGAACACACCCCCCCCTACACGGTAAGCAGTAACAAGCACCGGGTCACATGGCCCTCTGGGGGAGTGCCAGGAAGACATGACCCCCTTGCACAGGTCAGAGGTCCTGCCACATAGCTACCAACCACACAGGTCACGTGTGAGAACTCGCTGCTGGGAAGGTCAACACGACGACCATCACGTGTCAGTAGCTGAAGACTTCGCCAGCTCAGGGCACACCTCACAGAGAGAGAGGAGAGACAGAGAGAGAGAGACAGAGAGAGAGACAGAGAGAGAGAGAGACAGAGAGAGAGAGAGACAGAGAGAGAGAGAGAGAGAGAGAGAGAGAGAGAGAGAGAGAGAGAGAGAGAGAGAGAGAGAGAGAGAGAGAGAGAGACAGAGAGAGAGAGAGACAGAGAGAGAGACAGAGAGAGACAGAGAGAGAGAGAGAGAGAGAGAGAGAGAGAGAGAGAGAGACAGAGAGAGAGAGAGAGAGAGAGAGAGACAGAGAGAGAGAGAGAGAGAGAGAGAGAGAGAGAGACAGAGAGAGAGAGAGACAGAGAGAGAGAGAGACAGAGAGAGAGAGAGAGAGAGAGAGAGAGAGAGAGAGAGAGAGAGAGAGAGAGAGAGAGAGAGAGAGAGAGAGAGAGACAGAGAGAGAGAGAGAGAGAGAGAGAGAGAGAGAGACAGAGAGAGAGAGACAGAGAGAGAGACAGAGAGAGAGAGAGAGAGAGAGAGAGAGAGAGAGAGAGAGAGACAGAGAGAGAGAGAGAGAGAGAGAGAGAGAGAGACAGAGAGAGAGAGACAGAGAGAGAGAGAGAGAGAGAGAGAGAGAGACAGAGAGAGAGAGAGAGAGACAGAGAGAGACAGAGAGAGAGAGAGAGAGAGAGAGAGAGAGAGAGAGAGACAGAGAGAGAGAGAGAGAGAGAGAGAGAGAGAGAGACAGAAGGAGAGAGTACACTGCAGTGCAAAAAGCACTCCAAGGACAAGCTTATATAAGCAATCGAAGTCCAAAATAAAAAACCTTTTAATAGAAAGGAACAAAAACAAAGGTAATAAAACTCTTCAGTCCGTCCTGGAAATTGAAATCCGAATTTCAATAACATAATAAAAATGAAAATGGGAAGAAAGAAGCCAGCTTAAACAAATACAGAGAAATGGCTTGGTCAAAACACTGGCCGGGCGACTCCCTCAGCAGACGAGAATAACAATAGGTGGATTCCAAAGGAAGCAGCAGCGGCAGGAGGAGGAGGAGCAGAAGCAGCAGCAGCAGCAGCAGCAGCAGCAGCAGCAACAGCAGCAGCAGCAGTAGCAGCAGCAGCAGCAGTAGCAGCAGCACCAGCAGCAGCAGCACCACCAGCAGCACCAGCAGCAGCAGCAGCAGCAGCAGCAGCACCAGCAGCAGCAGCACCAGCAGCAGCACCAGCAGCAGCAGCAATTACCGTAACAGCACCACCATCACCCACAATGCCACGAAGTAACTAGAGCCAAGAACAGCAACCTAATACCTGAATCATTAGCAAACAACGCTCGATATAGCAATCCCAATAATGCTGTTGGTCGTCTAAACTCTTCATTCGCACTTTGTATGCTGCTAATCGCCATTCAGCGATGCCTAACAACGCAATTTGAGGTTAATTCTGCGCAATTAGAACTCTGCCAGGAACTGGGGTTGTAAGTTGTATCCAACGTGATCGAACGCTGTACCAGAATATTAGCAAAATCAGGATGTCAGTGCCTGTTGAATCTGCCTCCCTATCTGCTCCTTGCAATGGGAATTGTGGGTCATAGGATACTGGTTCCCACCAGCCACAGGACGGGATGGGACTGTTCACAACAACCTAATGTTGTGGCATTACAACCCCCCTTGTGAGGAGGGCATCACAACCCTTAGTGGGAGTCATCACAAACCCTAAGGTCGCGCGGATCACAAATCCTACCCGCCAAACACACACCGAAACTACGACGTTGGTACAACGTTCGAACAAGTTTTAACACCTCCTAACCAGTTATAACAACCAATATAGCAAGTTGTAACAACGTTCTAATACGTCATAAACACGTTAAGCCAAGATGTAACAACTTTATTACAAGTTGTAACAAGCGGAAAATAGAGACAGTTTCGGTTTGTGTTTCCAGGGTGGTGTTGGGTTTCACAACATTAATAACTATCTACAACACTGGCAACTACATCAACACTGACGGGTATAACATCACAACAATACTGACGGCTACAACACAGGTAACTTCAACAACACTGGCAAACACAATAACACTAGCAATTACAACACACAAGTGACTGCTACAACAACAAATATATCGTTCTGACAATGTTGTGACAACGCTCCTACAACGTTGTGACAACGCTCCTACAACGTTGTGACAACGGTCCCACAACGTTGTGACAACGTTCTCGCAACGTTGTGACAACGTTCCCACAACGTTGTGGCGACGTTCCTACACTGTGACAACGTTCCTACAATGTTGTGACAACGTTCCTACAACGGCATTGTCATGCCATTGTGGAAACATTGCAATGTTCCCACACTATTACAAAATCACTTTACAACAATGGAATAACGTTAAAACATGCGGATACATTGGACATTTTCTGGGTTAACAGTGAATGGAATGAAGTACGTATACTGAGTTATACACTGATACAACATTGGCTGAACAAAATATATAAATACAAAATACAATATTAATACAGAAGAACAGGAAGCTAGAGTAAACAGATAAGCAATGAGATACAAAACATTCACAAATGATAAGATTATAAACACTAACAAAAAAATACATGAACAGAGGACAGCATTTCCAAGAAAAGTGAAAAAAAAATAATTGATTGTGAAGTATACACGACTTCCAGGTTACGTACATGCTAGAACACTAGCCCAACATTCACACAACATAACCACAACATTACGTTTGTTGACGTTGAACAAAACGTTGCTAGAAAGTTGTGGTTAGGTTGTGTTTGGTGGGTGACTACTCTGTTAGTGCGACAACTGAATACTCTCGCCCTCGCTAACTTACTCCTTCAGAGGCCACACGATGGAGCCAGTGGGGTCCAGTAGGCCGGTTCTAAAAGGAAGAGTCGAAGGTAGCCAAAGTTGATTCGTGTCAGTCGGATAGATATCCACGAGCAACCAATTCAACTTTCAACTAATTAATCAACGTTCAGTTAACGTTGCTCGCGTATATTTTGCCCAGTGGGTACAATACCCTTGAGTGGCGTTGATTCGATATTGAATCAACATTATGTAAGGTACCCTTTTTAACCCTGTCGTAGCTCAGTCGATTAAGGCAGTGTCTGGGATGCTCCCGGACGCAGGTTCGAATCCTCGTCACAGCCCTTGTGGATTTGTTCATTATGTAAAGTAATTCAATGTTGAATCAACATTGCTCTTGGATTCTGTAGCCACTGGGTAGAGGGGGATTGGCACAGTGTGGTTTATGGTAACGACCGAGCAAGTGTGTATTTGATCAACCTGTCCTCTTAAAAAGAACGTCGCTTTTGGCCGTTTGCCCGTATGGTGGAATGTGGACGTAATTTGAAAATGAAAAAAAATGAAAATAAATTTGGGATTTTTTTTTTCAACAACAGTAAGTTAAGGGTCCTCTGATAGGTTAGGTGGGCAGGAAATTCTCATAAAGTTTCAAAACTTTATGAAAAACGTTAATGGAAAGTTTCCTTTTCTAAGCTGTCAGAGTAAGCCGGACGGCTCAAACAGAAAACGGGACAGTACGTCACTTTTGTGAGTCGATTTCATTTCAAATTACGTCCAAATTTGGCCATAGCGCCGCGCATACGAACGAAAAGTAACGTTATTTTTAAGAGGACGGGTTGATTTGTTGACGTTCTAAGGGCGAAACTGTTGATTGTTGAATAGCGTGATTATTCCACTTGCAAGGTCGCTTACCACTTACCGGTATTCACATGTAAGTTTAGTATGTTCGGGCAGTTACTTATGATGTATATATATATATATAGGTGGGTTAGATATATTTACAAGATTCTATACACAGTTGTAGCCTATTTAGACATATTTACAACATTCTATACACAGTTTTATTTACAAATTTCTATACACATTAATATATCCTACAATATTTACATATGTATTTTGTTAATTGCTAAATTTTATCTACAGGTCTAAACAGTTAAATTCTAGAATTTTAACTTTTCTAAAGCACAATACAAATGCTTTGTTTAATCCAGATTGAAAGCAAATTCTCAAAATGACTACTCTGCTATGACTATGTCTTTGGTCTATCATAAAGACTATGATAGACAAAGACTATGTCTTTGGTCTATCATAAACGGGTAACTAAGAGATTTGAGAAGCTTTGTAACGATGAAAATTAAATTTTAGTCATTTACATCACAATTTAGCGCTCTATCAAACATTCTCCAACCTGTTCTCGCAAATTTAATAAGTCAATATTGACTTATTAAATATGTGCATAGGTGACATACTTAACAATAGTTTCCCTAGAAAAGCTTCATAGAAAACACCGACCTCACCTAACCTACTTAGTATGTTAAGATAAGCATCTTATTGCTTCGTAATTACAATTATTACCTAACCTATACCTATAATAGGTTAAGTAACAATTGTAATTACGAAGCTATAAAATGCTTATTTTAACATACTAAGTAGGTTAGGTAAGGTCGGTGTTTTCTATGAAGCTTTTCAAGGGAAACTATTATGTTAAGTATGTCACCTATGCACGCAACTAATAAGTCAATATTGACTTATTAAATTTGCGAGAACGGGTTGCATTCTCAATGAGAAACTCCTGTGAAGCAAGTCTGTGGAATTGAACAATGCGGACATAAGGGTTGACCCAAGTTGCATGTTCAATCCTATTGCATTGCTACAAAAGACTTTCTTATAAACATATCACCGTATTGTGATTTCACTGCGCAACATTTTCAAATGGTCAGATAATTTAGAAATGCACTGTATCACATTGAAAGGAATATTATGAAGGGTAATTATTTTAAAATCTGCATGAACGAGACTGCATTATCTTTGTCCAACTTCCGAGTTAAATAACGTGCTCGAAGAAACCTCTATTTTTATTTTTTTATACCCTTGAAGCCTGCCACGGAGTGACACTTCAGGACACGAACAAGCCACGTACAGAAAGTGTCACTAGAGTGAGGTCTCCGTGGTGTAGTGGTAAGACACTCGCCTGGCGTTCCGCGAGCGCTATGTCATGGGTTCGTATCCTGGCCGGGGAGGATTTACTGGGCGCAATTCCTTAACTGTAGCCTCTGTTTAACGCAACAGTAAAATGTGTACTTGGATGAAAAAACGATTCTTCGCGGCAGGGGATCGTATTCCAGGGACCATAGGATTAAGGACTTGCCCGAAACGCTACGCGTACTAGTGGCTGTACAAGAATGTAACAACTCTTGTATATATCTCAAAAAAAAAAAAGGTAGGAAGGTTGTATGGCCATTGAAAACGTTTCGAAAAACTAATGAACTGTCCAGAGGCGTTCCGAGATACTGAGACACACAGATGATGTCAATATCGGTTCTGTTTGCGTAGAGGTAACTTGAAAGTTTCTTTACCAACTCCTTGAAAGGAAAGGTTGGTGTTTTTCTTGGGCTGGCACCAAGACACCATAGAACCTAGCGAGCTATGGCTCATATTTATATTTCTCCGGTTGTGTTTTCTCTTAGAGCATTTCGAGGTTCGAGTCCCACGTCCGATACCTGAGCTTCACCTGTCATTTTCATTCTCTTGGACAAATGAGTAAAATTTTATATCACCTTTTCAGAAGCTAAAATATAGCTACAATGGCCTGTAACGCCGTATATTCCGGGAATGTATATCATGTTGAATATATTTATGGACAAAAATAACAGCTATATGACAGCTAAATAACAGCTAAATAACAGCTATATAACAGCTAAATAACAGCTATATGCTCAACACTCTTCCTAACAACGTTGAAGAAGAGCAATCAAATAATACGAAACTAAATTTTCACCCAATATTTATGTCTTATGCACAGAAACACGTCCAATACCTACTAATGTATTGAATAATCAATTCAATGTATTCTTTAGTGATTTACGTCCAAAAGTCTCCGTTTGGGATTCCGGTGCATTACTGGGGCCAATCCAGCAATTATTTCTGGATTCGATCTCTCATTACTCCTGGATTCGAACCCCTAGTGTATTACGAGTGATCCCGCACTAATCTAAGATTTGACTCCACATTACTGATAGGATTCAACTGCAGTACTCCTTGAATGGTTTGCTTAGGAATGACATTTGTCAATGCACTGATTAGTATGGGGACCTATTGCTATACGTCAATTGATGTCACGTACCTATGATGGGGCTTAATGGGCGAGTCCGTGGCTTCTATGGTCACCTCCGGGGATGTTGGGTCTCCTTCCCCCTGGGTGTCCATCAAAGAGGAGTACAGACGAAGACCTTCCTTCCTGGAGCGACCCTGTGGGAGCAGCAGCAAAGGGAACATTCCGGATTAGGTCAACTCAAAAGACAGAGGTTTAATCGTGCCTTTTGTTTGGTGTGGCACTTTGTGGGTTGCTGGTTGTGGGTTTCCCCCTCAATTCTGGGGATGTTGTGTTAGGGTGGGTGGGTGGGTGTCACACCACACATGGTGTGGTGTGTCAATGGTGTTTGATTCGACCATTGACACACTGAATCCTTCATATCAAAACAATTTACTCTGATATTTGGTTTGGAATATCAATCTATGCACTTGTCCATCGGCTCACGTGGCTAACGACCTGGTTCCTGGTCATTCATGTGCCAGTCACCTGGATTCTTTGGTCACAAGCTGGGATGCAGGCGAGGAGTCACAATAACGTGGCTAAAGTATGTTGACCAGACCACACACTAGAAGGTGAAGGGACGACGACGTTTCGGTCCGTCCTGGACCATTCACAATCGACTTGAGAATGGTCCAGGACGGACCGAAACATCGTCGTCGTCCCTTCACCTTCTAGTGTGTGGTCTGGTTAACAAGCTGGGATAATAGGTTGTGACACTAGGGTTTATGTATTAACCTATGACACTGATTCCATGACACGATAAGACTGATGCCTTGACATCAAGATTCTCCTGTGATCCTAGAAATGAAATGACCTTAAACTTAGCCAGAGAAGACACAGGCTAATGAAGCTGTGAGACGCTAGCCTCACAAGAGATTCGTAAAATACCCCCTACCATAAAGAGACCATCTTGAGACTGACCCCAAGAGCCTTGCAGAATGGCACTAGAAAACGATGGACAAGTGATGTTCATATCCCAAGGGACTCAAGCGTGATCCTGTGTGTGGTACACTTCTTATAGAAAGACACAGGAAGGATGAGATACAGGAGTTACAGCCCTCCTCCTGTGCTAGGCAAGTCCACCACGGGCTCACCATAGCCCGTGCTACTTGGAACTTTTTGTCCCAAGTAGCGAATCTTAAACAGAAGATGAGATACAGACCTTGAGGTCGACTCCGTAGGCCTGTTCGTAGATGGGCACAGGAGCCTGACCATTGTCGTCTAAAGCAGCTTCTCTTTTTCTCCTCAACACTCGCTGGATGGTCAGCTCCTCGTGGGTACCAAGCTGAGGGAGAAGAAAACCAGGGGATTAGATAGTCGTCTTGGCTTAGTGCCTCCTATTGATAGATAAGATGGTTACAGACACTAAGCCACAATAATGTGGTTGAAACGAACCCACACACTTGGAAACAATGATTGTGGTGATTGGAATGATGGTGTGTTTACCGCCCAAGTTCCTGACGGATATTCGAGTCCAAATAATGACCCCATTTTTCCTGTGCTTCGTTCCACCTCACGGCCGCCCACTCCTGGGGGAGGGAAGAGCAGGCACCCCCACAAGTCAGCAACAGCGGCTCTGGGCTCCGAGGGGTGTCAACACCGCTGGTCGTGTCTACAGATCTGGCAACTTTATCACCACTGTGCCACTGAGTGTAGCCTAATGTGTCTTTATGTAACCCAGTTCTAGTCTCCCTACTTTCTCGGTGACGTCTCTCTCTCTCTCTCTCTCTCTCTCTCTCTCTCTCTCTGTCTCTCGTACACTCCTTGTGATACCTGTTTCTCCAACAGACGTGAGGAGTTTTCGTACCCTCTCCTCTCTCTCTCTCTCCCTCTTTCTCTCGTCTTATCTTCTCCACCTTTTCTCTCAATCTTCATCTTCTCTTTCCTTCCTTTCTCCCAATCTTAGACATTCTCTTGTATACATAAAGATTCTAAGAGCGCTTTCTATGGCTCTCTTCTGCCTCTCTCTCTCTCTCTCTCTCTCTCTCTCTCTCTCTCTCTCTCTCTCTCTCTCTCTCTCTCTCTCTCTCTCTCTCGCTCTCTCTCTCTCTCTCTCTCTCTCTCTCTTTCTCTCTCGCTCTCTCTCTCTCTCTCTCTCTCATCTCTCTCTCGCTCTCTCTCTCTCCCTCTCTCCGCTCCTCTCTCTCTCTCTCTCTCGCTCTCTTCTGCCTCTCTCTCTCGCTCTCTTCTGCCTCTCTCTCTCTCTCTCTCTCTCGCTGCCCGTCTCTCGCTCGCTCTCTCTCGCTCGCGCTCCTCTCTCGCTCTCTCTCTCTCCTCCCGCTCTCTCTCGCGCTCTCTCTCTCGCGCTCTCTCTCTCTCTCTCTCGACCTGGCTGTCTGTCTCATTTCTGTCTCCTCCAAATGTGTGCTGACCAAACATTAAGTGACAAGACTAAACACAACAAGAGCCAGTTTCACGTTGCCAGTCTGACGCTAATGGAGGCCTGGCGGAGTGTGAAGAGCAATGGGCAGGCTGTGTAGACGTGTTCCTGAGCACACACACACATGTACACACACACACGCACACATACGAACACACACCCTAACACAACATCCCCAAAATTGAGGGGAGAACCCACAAAGCTCATACCCCACAAGCACAACTAGGTGAATACACACACACACACACACGCACGCCAACACAACATCCCCAGAATTGAGGGGGGAACCCACAACCAGCAACCCACAAAGCTCAACCCCCCACAAGCACAACTAGGTGAATACACACACACACACACACACACACACACACACACACACACACACACACCACGCACGCCCCGATTTCAACACGGAGTCTTAAAGCAGCTAAAATCCCCCGTAAAAATCCCCCTTAACTGTCACAGGAAATATGAGTGATAATAACCACATGCTGAAAGGTGGTATTAATTTATATAATATATATATTATCATATATATATATAATATATATTATCATATATATATATAATATATATTATCATATATATAATAATATATATTATCATATATATAATTATATATATTATATATTAAGACCTGATAATACCATATCATGTCTTTATACAACATACTGGAATCCCTCAGCAGAACTGAGCCAGGGATTTATCAAGTATTTACGAAACCTGTACATCTAGGAAGCACTACGAGGTTATTTATAACAATAACAACCTTGGATTGGGAAGTTTACAAGCTCGTAAACTGTTTATTAAATGGTAACTATGCCGACCGCCATTACTGTAACTGTTTGATCGAGTTGTTATGGAAATTTTGCGCATGAGAACTTTCTTGTGACTGAATTTGGTGTTTTTCTATTCCCAGAACGAGGCCTGAGGCAAGGTTTTCCAGGTGATAATTTGATCAAGGAGGCTATTTGTGTTAGCGCCCCGCAGGGCCCCATTCTGACATAGCAACTGAGCTAATACGAAAATACTTCCTTTTTGGAAGTTGAAAATATGCCTATTTCGAACCACGTTTCGAACCCTACATACTATTTCCACCCCATGTTTTCACTTCAGATATTTTCCAAAATTGACCAAGTGAGCACAGACAAAAACACAATTTCAATTATTACATAGACATAACAACTACAGCAAACAAACACACACGATGTAACCAGGACGTTGATGCAACGACAAAAATGTCGTTGTGATTATATGTGTGTTTGTTGGGTCGAAATGTGTGTGTTTTCTGTGTATTATTTGTCATTCAGTGTAGCAGTGTATAGAGACGGAGAGAGAGAGAGAGAGAGAGAGAGAGAGAGAGAGAGAGAGAGAGAGAGAGAGAGAGAGAGAGAGAGAGAGAGAGAGAGAGAGAGAGAGAGAGAGAGAGAGAGAGAGAGAGAGAGAGAGAGAGAGAGAGAGAGAGACACTGTTCCATAATATACCTTCCCTCACTGAATTCTATAAACAAAAACAAAGCTTACTCTATCCAGAAGAAACTTAGTGGCCTGATATTGCAATCAATAATGACAGGAAAAACTCACCTTACGTCTTGTAAGCGGAGACGATAACTAAAGGGAGTTAACTCTAGTCGTCACCCACACACACACACACGCCAACACAACATCCCCAGAATTGAGGGGGGAACCCACAACCAGCAACCCCCACAAGCACAACTAGGTGAATACATACACACACAATCTTACTGTGGGAGTAAGATTCCTTTCCTCAAGAGCAGGGAAACCAAATAAGAGATCTTGGAGAAGGAGAAGAAGAGGTCAAAGAAAACACAGAAGACTAAGACAATGCAGAAGAAGAATACAAAGAACAGGTAATAAAGACAATAAGAAAGCAATCAGAAGAAGACGCTGTAACTACCTGGCCAATGCAAATGTTTTTTTGTTCAGTAACAAGCTATTCGAACACTCAGCTTTGAAGCACTTCAACTCGGTCGTTACTGCTTCTAAATTGTGTCTACGAATACTCACTGCGCCCAACTGAAAGTCAGTCTAGTCCTATTTACTTCCATTCGATACAGTGTAATTCTATATACTTCCATCAGATAGAGTATTCTCGTATACATTTCCATGTGGTAACGTGTAGCCCTATATACTTTCATGCAATACAGTATAGTCCTATATACTTTCATGTGGTGTAGACACACAGTGAAGCCTTCTGTACTAGAAAGCTGGCTAGCACAGGAGGGAATAAGCAATAGCTATAATAGTAGTTCACATCTAGTTCACACATCTATTTCACATCTAGTACCTAGTTCTAGAGCCGGTCGGCCGAGCGGACAGCACGCTGGACTTGTGATCCTGGATTCGATCCCGGGCGCCGGCGAGAAACAATGGGCAGAGTTTCTTTCACCCTATGCCCCTGTTACCTAGCAGTAAAATAGGTACCTGGGTGTTAGTCAGCTGTCACGGGCTGCTTCCTGGGGGTGGAGACCTGGTCGAGGACCGGACCGCGGGGACACTAAAGCAACGAAATCATCAAGATAATCTCAAGATAATCTCAAGATAATCTCAAGATAATCTCAAGATAATCTCAAGATAATCTCAAGATAATCTCAAGATAATCTCAAGATAATCTCAAGATAATCTCAAGATAATCTCAAGATAATCTCAAGATAATCTCAAGATATCTCCAAGATAATCTCAAGATAATCTCAAGATAATCTCAAGATATCTCAAGATAATCTCAAGATATCTCAAATAATCTCAAGATAATCTCAAGATAATCTCAAGATAATCCAATATATCTCAAGATAATCTCAAGATAATCTCAAGATAATCTCAAGATAATCTCAAGATAATCTGATAATCTCAAGATAATCTCAAGATAATCTCAAGATAATCTCAAGATAATCTCAAGATAATCTCAAGATAATCTCAGATAATCTCAGATAATCTCAAGATAATCTCAAGATAATCTCAAGATAATCTCAAGATAATCTCAAGATAATCTCAAGATAATCTCAAGATAATCTCAAGATAATCTCAAGATAATCTCAAGATAATCTCAAGATAATCTCAAGATAATCTCAAGATAATCTCAAGATAATCTCAAGATAATCTCAAGATAATCTCAAGATAATCTCAAGATAATCTCAGATAATCTCAATATAATCTCAAGATAATCTCAGATAATCTCAAGATAATCTCAAGATAATCTCAAGATAATCTCAAGATAATCTCAAGATAATCTCAAGATAATCTCAAGATAATCTCAAGATAATCTCAAGATAATCTCAAGATAATCTCAAGATACGTAACCTTTCATATAGTCTACACAAGCTATAGAAATGCCTAGATACCTTTCAATGTACAAGGCAAAAATCACAAAATTCAAAATTCCATGTATTGAGGTACCTCAAGTTTCCATTACAAATTCATCAAATCCTGGACACTCATCAGGTCCTGGAGACCTGATGAGTGTCCTCGGACACTCATCTCGGCCCTTACATACAGTCGACATCCTGTATTGCCTTACAGTTGCGTTACAGAGACCTCAGAGTAAACTCCCCCTACAGCCACTAACATTACATAACTAGATATTAGAGTAGAGTATAGGATTACAGACCTGGAGCCCACTGTGGTTTGTACTCCTCAGCTTTATAAGGCTGATGAAAAGCAAGTCTGAAGCCTACACCAGCAGCAAAAGCAAGTCTGAAGCCTACAACAGCAGCAAAAGCAAGTCTGAAGCCTACACCAGCAGCAAAAGCAAGTCTGAGGCCTACAACAGCAGCAAAAGCAAGTCTAAAGCCTACAACAGCAGCAAAAGCAAGTCTGAAGCCTACACCAGCAGCAAAAGCAAGTCTGAAGCCTACACCAGCAGCAAAAGCAAGTCTGAAGCCTACAACA